TTTGCTTGTTTAATTTAAAGCAAAAGATCTGCATTTTTCTTTTAATTACAGTTGAATGAAGTTTGATAAAACCCAATTAACGGTTACAACTTTGTATAATGAATTATCGTTAAACATACATATATTCAATTCAATTCAATTCAATTAGTTTATTTACCAATTAAGGGCTCTCATGGGGCAAAAAGAAAGTACATTGTAAATTAACATTTATATATAGTCATATTAACATGTAATACAATATACATACACACAAGAGAGAAACAGTTGCATGATTGATAGGAGAAAGACGTAAAAAAGAAATAAACCAGATAGTTTTTAGCTCACCTGAGCTGAAAGCTCAAGTGAGCTTTTCTGATCACCCATTGTCCGTCGTCCGTCCGTCCGTCCGTCCGTCTGTAAACTTTTCACATTTTCGACATCTCAAGAACCACTGAGCCAATTTTAACCAAACTTGGTACAAAGCATCCTTGGGTAAAGGGGAGTTTAAATTGTTAAAATGAAGGGCCAAGTCCCCTTCAAAGGGGAGATAATCAAGAAAATACAAAAATTGGGTGGGGTCATTAAAAAATCTTCTTCTCAAGAACCACTGGGCCAGAAAAGCTGAAACTTATGTGGAAGCATCCTGGGGTAGTGCAGATTCTAAATAGTTCAAATCATGACCCCCGGGGGTAGGGCGGGGCCACAAAAGGGAATCAAGTTTTACATTGAAATATGTAGTAAAAATCTTCTTTTCAGGCACCACTGGGCCAGAAAAGCTGAAACTTATGTGGAAGCATCCTGGGGTAGTGTAGATTCTAAATTGTTCAAATCATGACCCCCAGGGGTAGGGCAGGGCCACAATAGGGAATCCAATTTTATATTGAAATATATAGGAAAAATCTTTAAAAATCTTCTTCTCAAGAGCCACTGGGCCAGAAAAGCTGAAACTTATGTGGAAGCATCCTGGGGTAGTGTAGATTCTAAATTGTTTCAATCATGACCCCTGGGGGTAGGGCGGGGCCACAATAGGGAATCCAAGTTTTACATTGAAATATATAGGAAAAATCTTTAAAAATCTTCTTTTCAGGCACCACTGGGCCAGAAAAGCTGAAACTTATGTGGAAGCATCCTGGGGTAGTGTAGATTCTAAATCATTCAAATCATGACCCCTGGGGGTAGGGCGGGGCCACCATAAGTACTACAGGGGGGGGGGGAAGAAATCAGGTGAAAAACAGCAAGGCCAAAGTTACTCAGGTGAGGGCTGTGGCCCATGGGCCTCTTGTTATACATATACATATACATAAATTCTGTGCAAATAATATCATACATCATATATATGCAAATTTACATATTTATATCATACACATATTAAAGTACATATTTTTTTGCTTAATTTATCATAAAACAGTTCACATGCCTCAGACTTGACTTATGGTAATGCTTTTTGTAAAAATCTTCCAAGAGAATTCAAAATATCTAATTCCTCATAGTTAGGAACCTAGAATAATTTTTGTTTATCAGGCAATTTTGTAAAATGTTTTACTTTGGATGAGATTAAGTTAAATAGGTCTTCTCTTTCCTTTGTGAATTTGCTACAGTGAATAAGGAAATGTTCTTCATCTTCAATTTGATTATGTCCAGTAGAGGCCCTCTCATGCAAAGCAAAAATGGTCTCTCTTTTTTTTTTCAAGACTTATCCCCCAAAAAATCGAGTCGGTAGTTTTTTGATAAAAAAAAATTAAAATCAAAGAGTCATTTAGATTTATGTAAGAATTTATAATTAACACTACCATCCCCCCTCACAACCCCCCCCCTCCCCCCAAAAAAAACATGGATATATCAAATGCTACTATATTCCAAAATTATATAATTAAGATTTAACAGTTCAAAAAATTGGAAAGGTCTCACTTTTCATGTATAAGGTAAAAAAAAATCCCAGAATCTTATTTTATTTTTAATTTTTTTTTTCTTCAAATTCTTGAATATATTTGTCAGTCAGTCTTAAAAACAGTACGGTCATTAACAAAGAATTAAGAATGGGAAAGGGGAGGAAACCAACTTATTCAATCTAAAATGTTAGAATGTGTATCATTTGGAGCCATTTTAAACAAAAATTTCTCGAACCCTATCCTAGCTCCCATATTTATATACTTCATGAAAATCTTCATATGAAATTTTGTAAATTTATCATTGGATCAGGGAAGAAAAGTACCAATATTGCAGTTCAATCAGAGCTGGGTAGTCAACCAATATTTTATTCTATTATTATAGCAATTATCTCTTACTGGCATAGACTTGAGAACATGCCCGAGAATTCTTTGTTATACAATGCATACAAAGAAAGTATGATCTTGGACAGTTGTAATATTAATAAATCGTTGGTTTTCAAATGTAACATATTTTATTATGTAAGAAAATGGGCATACTTTGGTCTAAATGTAAATCAATGAAACTAATAACTTTCAAGAAACAACTGAAAAAAATTATTAGAAAGGATTTCCTTCAATACTGGTTCATAAAAAGAGAAGAGGGTTGTCTGTCGGGTAAACTTACAACATATTTCTTTGTAAAAAGAAGTTTTGAAATTGAAAAGAATTTATTTTTAAAAAATTTTGAACAAAGAAAACTTATATGTAAATTTAGAATAAGTGCACATAATCTCAGAATTGAAAGTGGAAGATATGAAAAAAATGTAAACACAGAAGGACAGCAAACCACCCTTGCAAGAAATGAAAGGATTTGTAGAATGTGCGACATGAATTGTGTGGAAGATGAGATTCACTCACTGATTGAATGTCCATTATATAAACATGATAGACATGAATTTTTTGAGAATATTGCTAAAAATAATAAAAAATTTTATTGTTTAACAAATAAAGAAAAATTTTTGTGGATTATGTCTAATGAGAATGATATATTGCTTATCAAGTTGGGTAATTTTCTAATCAATATTTTTAAAATAAGAAATTGTGAATTATATAATGTTAAAAAGAACCAAATAAATGCAAAAGAGTAATAATATTAAATTATTAATACTCTAGTACAAATATACATGTTAAAAATCTTTGTACATTTGCTAATTATATATATGTATATAATATATTTTAAAGCATTTATTATTGGTAATCCCCATCGCTGCTATAATCAATATCATCTTCTTTAGTTAGTTTCTTTTCTTTTCTCTTAATATCGACATGTTGCTACTATCAATTTGAAATTTCTTCTTGTGTATATAATTCTTTCCTTGTATGCCCAGTGAGGGGCCCCAAATTGGGATCAATAAATCTTATGTTATCTTGTACTCACACAATGTAAACTCTACTAAAAAAATCTTGGCCACAAAATTTCATTTCGTGGCCTCGAATTCATAAAAAAAAATTCATAGCTAGCCTCCGTAGGTATCAGATCTTCCCCACCTTTTACCATAAATAAAAACTTGGAACAAAAAGTCCTAGGTGGGTAGAATAGCTTGGGTAAAAGTGGATTGTAGTATGAATTTTTTTTTTTACGTCACATCCGTTTTCACATCCGGGCATTCGGCAATATGGTCGCCGACGAGAGATCCATTTACGATCGGTGAACTTTGGTGAGCAATTAATCTTGCTCTAAAGCGAAGTATTGAGTCGGATTTAATATGGAATATTCATAATTTTATCACCGACATTTTCAAGTTGCATAATTAGCCTCATGCAATATTTTCATTGTGATTTTATGCATGTAGTAAGTCTCATCTCTTGTTGAACTTAATTTTCATGAGCAAATACAAAGCATACCCAAATATATCTGTGCTTCAGCAATAGCGAATTTTGATGGAAAAAGCAATTTAAAACTTCACAAACGGGGGTCGGGAAATGTTTAGGCAGACCATTGTTCTGATGGTACAATGATAATCATTCTATTTTCATTATCTTAAAAAGTGGGGTATACAGGTAACCTCTAAAGTTGTCAAATATTGGTTTCTTAAGATAAACTGTAAACGTATTGTACATGATGAAGGTAATTGATGGGTTCACTGCAATTATATGTTCACTCTGAATGGATAAGTCTCGAGTGATTTTGCCCGGATTAAACCCGCATTGATCTACCTCTAACAATTAGTCAATACATTTGAAAATTGAAATTATGGCACTTGTGGATTTTGGCAGTTTGTTTTGACAAATTGCTAACAATGATGAAATTCTAATTTTGTTCTAAATATGATAAAAGGTAGAGATCATGTATAATAAATTGGAAACTCTATATAGTATGTTTTGTATGTTTTCATCATGCATAGACATAAATGAATGTTATGTCTCTAGTTTTGATCATGTATATTTTATTGACAAATAACCAAAATTAAAGGACATGCACATTTAAAGTTACTCTCCTCTACTAAATGTAGGCCATTCAAAGTAATGAAAAAACATGCTATCTGAACCCACAGGATTCAACTATGAATTTGCAAATAGCAGCAATAAATGTCATTGTTTAGCTTTAAGAATAAGTTAACATTAAAACTGGAAACAATTTGGGACTGCTCAATCAATTATTATCAAATTTAATTAAAGTACATGTTAATCTATTAAACACTGACTTTCCAACCAGCGTTGCTGAACATAAAATCCATTACTCTGTACATTCAATCAAAACTATTTGGGACAAATCCATGCACTTACGACAAAGAGTAAATCGGAGCCAAACACAATGAATTTCATGTTAAAAGTTTGATAGCTTCCTTGTTCACCTTTTATTTAGAAGGGAGATGTTAATAAACTCCCAGTGATTTTCTTGATATTGAATGCTTTATAAAGTAGCATAAAGTGTCTTTGTTTTCCCCTTGAAGTTGAAGAAGATATGTGAGTTCCCATGACTACAAAGAAAATAAAAAGAAACAAAAAATGTCTCTGAACAAAATATTCTAGATTTTAGGAGAATTTTTTTCAAATTTGCAAGTTTTGACATCATATAAGTTGTTGACAAATGCATATACACCAATGCTACAACATTTTAAAAGTGCTTTTCCCATTTATATAGAAATTCTGATGGAAAACACAAATAGCCAAGAGAGAAGCTCTGTCAACCCTGATGCAGGGTCTGAGCCTGATGTCAAGGAAGATAACCCTGAAGGTGAAAGTCCTCCTCCAATCTGGATCATAAATTCATAATCATTGGTCAAAGTAGCATTTCCATCTCTTAAAGAGGAATTAAAAATGTCTATATAGGGGTCATTGCACAGGACATACCATTCTAAGTATTATAATTTTCTTATTTCTGTTGCTTAATGTTATATATTACCAAAGTTTGATTATGGTGGTTTTGAAACGTGGAATAGATAATCAGCTGTTCCTTTGGATGAGGTGCAGAGGGAAGCAGGTTAACTGATAGTAGAATTAAATCAAGAGAAAAAAAAATCTGCTCGCGTTTTGTCAGCAATGGCTGCAGAAGAGGATGAAGTCTTTAGAACATGGTAGTTAATTTCTAACTTTAAATTTAAGGCTTATGTATTGTTTTTGCTGTGAAAATCAGAAACTTACATTTTTAGTCTGTATGCTCCCGAGTTGTTGGTAGGTGAGGGGGCATTTCTTGTAAAGTCTTTCCTAATTCCAAATGTCTGTATGAATGTCTCTTTTCTCTCTGTAGTTTTAATCTGAAATTTGAATTAAACAAGAAAAAATTTTTTTTTTGCAATGTTGAGACATAACTTTAATGGAGAAGTGTTTAAAGCTTGTAGTAGGTACAAAGGAACATACAATAAAGTCGATTAGAGGATGCAGTTTGACTCTTAACCAAGTCCATGTTACAACTTGCTGGACTTGGGACTCCAGTTCTACACAAACACCTTGTAGTTTATTGTTTTTTCTGCATGTATCTATAACAAGAAATCAATAAAATTCAAAACTGCAGAAAGAATATTAATTGAACAAAATAAATTTTATCAAAAATTCAAAGGAATCTTGATAAATTAACAGAGAGATTTTTTTTAATTCCTATAATGCACCAGCTGCTTTTTTTTATGACTGTAAAATTCTTGAAAGGGCACTTGGAATTCCGCTTGGCTATTGATGTGAAATTCTACTTTGGCTATTGATTAAAGATGGAATTGAGTTTGTCTTTTCTGATTTTCACACTTTTTTGTGAATATTATTAATGGTAAATGTTTATTAATTAAAGTTCTTAAAAAATCTTTTCATGAAATATGATATGATTTTTTTTTTAAATTTGATGTAGATCTAGGCTTTTATTTGTGATAGAATAACAATAAGAAGAACCATTTCATGAAATTTTTACATTATGTTTTTTTTATTCTATGAGGAAGAAAACATCACAAACCTTGTACAGATTTTTAAGTACACAAGTGGACAGTACATTGCTTTTAAAAGAAAAAAAAAATTCATGAAGTTGATTTTTTAATGAAATGTTTTAGACTGGGAGACTGAAGAGGATACAGATGATGAAGATGATGAAGGAGAAGATGATGGAGATGATGATGATGAAGGAGATGATGATGATGAAGATGAGAGTACAGAGGAGGACTCTGGGGAGGAGACTGAGGACTACGAGTTTGAAGAAGAAGAGGAGGAAGAAGAAGGAGAAACTTGTCCTATCTGTCTAGATAGACTGAGGGACCAGGATCTAGGCACCCCCGAGTCCTGTGATCACACATTCTGTCTAGAATGCATACAAGAGTGGTCCAAGGTAGAGAGGGAAATATTTACCTTCTCAGCACTCAAACAAAAACAGAAATGTGATTCTTAATTCCTAGTATTGAGATATCGTTTGAAGAAATCATTAAGGTTAAAGATCCATAATAATGCAGCTTTTTGAGGTGTTATATTTAAAAGAAGCTACTTTTCTCTGATGTTGACAATTTGTCACAGATGTACATCTTACTTATTATTTATTTACAAACATCATTAGGTAGAAGAATTTGGTAATTGAGGAAATTCTAGATTTTTGTCATAAAATCCTTTGAAAATTTTTCTGATTAATGTATAGTCTAGTTCCTTAATAAATATCTTTGCTGGTTGAAGTGATGAGACAGTTTAGATCATCTTTGTTTTCTAGAATGTTAATACGTGCCCTGTGGATAGGCAGGTTTTCCACCTGATATTTGCAAAGCATCCTGGAGAAGATGCAATATTTAAAAGGGTAAGAGTATAAATATTTTTTATGAGTCATTATAGAAAAGAAATTGCAACGTACGTATTATATTTTCTAAATAATTTTTTTTTCACTGTTAACATGTACTTGATAATGGTTATAATTATGTTGTACACATTATAAGCATGTTGTTTTTATGTTGTCTTCTGATGTAGCATCTTTAATTTCTGTAGATTACAGTGGCAGATAAGCAACAAGATGATCCAGAAGAAGAGGAGGATCCAATATTTTGTGAGGCATGTGGTAGAAGTGATAGAGAGGACAGGCTTCTTCTCTGCGATGGTTGTGATTTAGGGTATGTCACAGAAGTTCACATTAAAAGACAAAGCTTTTCCTTGAATGATTAAATTTTCTATTATCTCTTTAATAATTATTTTTCTTCACCTCATCTAAACCTGAGCTATAAATGAATTTTGACTCCTGGGAACAATTTGACATTGTTATACCTTTAAAAATTTCTTCCTATATAAACCAATATTAATAAAAGTCTAACATTTCCAATGTTTTATTGAGTGGTCATAAAAAATCTATGTTTGACAGCGGAGCAAAATATTGGACCTGTTGATGAGATATTGGACCGCTTATGTCACATAGTGGGCGGGATCAGCTAAATCTCATTTGCATTTGTTGGCGTTCGACAAATGTATGTCAAAATAATAATAATAATAAAATAGATAAATAAAAGGTATAACAAAGCATTTATTGACTGTGTTCTTGGGCAAAAGCGTTTTGTCGACCACTCGAACCAAGCTGCTTGCCTTCGGCCTAACAGCCTCAGGCAAACAGTTTGATTCTTGGGTCCAACAAAATGCTTGTTACCCTCGAACCCAGTCAATAAATGTATATTATTAGAACATTTGAATCCTTTTGTTAGCTGTGTTGTTCAGTGGTTAAGCAGAAGAAAATTCTAAAGTATAATGAGTGTCTTCCCATGGTTATATGATTGATATTGGTAGGTTTGTTACAGATTGTATTTTAATTGACTGGTGGTGTTGTAGGTACCACTGTGAGTGTTTGGATCCACCCCTGGCTGAGGTTCCAGCAGGAGAGTGGTTCTGCCCTGACTGTGAAGCACTACATGAAAGGGAGAGGGAAGGTATTTACTAATAGCTTCCAAGGTTTTGAAATCATAAAAAAGATTGTGCATTAAATGAAGCATATTTTAGTTCACAAATTATCTTGAATTGATACTGTATAAAAGTATTAATGATGTAAATTAAATGGTATTTTGTATGTTACATTGAGTACACTTGACCTACCTATTTTTAGGGGGAGCAGCAGAAGTAGTGAATGATGATGAGGAGATTTATCACATCATTCAGGAGAACGGCATCCTCCCTCACTCCCTCAGACCCAGGGTACACAGAAGACAGGTGGCCCGGACACGCATGAGTGAACGCATTTTTCAACACATCCAGGAAATCAGACGTAGCAGATTTAACAGGAGAATGATTATTTTATCAGATTCAGAAAGCTCCTCTGAGGCCGAAAATACAGAGGTAAACACTTTAAAAAGCTTTTTACGATGATTATTGATTAAGACCCATAAGGGAAGGGTTTTAACTGTAAATTATCACAAAATATTGGAAAGAGAAATTTTATACACCAAATACAGAATTTATTCATATTATTCTGTCAGCATTGAAGAATGCCATATGTATATTGTTTTAAAAATTTTGTTTTCAAAGAAGTAAATACATCATACATTGAAAACTTTATTAGAATTGGATCTAAAATTTCAAGATTGCCTGCAGAAATCAGACAATGTCAATATCAGACAAGTTCCTGTAATAAACTCAATATGAAAATTATTCAGCTAAACTGAACAAAATGGATGAAAAATCTGAATGTCTATTCAATTATTAGCAGCATTTTAAAGGTGTAAATTAATTTACATGTAGAATGAAAGCATTGATGAAGATGCCCCATCTACAAGTACAGCATCTGCACCTAGGAAAAAGCCAGCTAAAAAGCAAAAGAAAAGAGTGACAAAACGCAAAACCAAAACAAAGAGAAAATCTACTGGCAAAGGAAAGAGTACAACAAAAAAGTCCAAAGGAAAACAACCAGCTAAGAGAAAAGTCAAAGGTAGAAAAAGGAAAACCCGCAGGACAAGGAAGTCCACTGGTAAAAAGAAAGGGACAAGTAGAAAGGTATATTCTTGATAGAGGTGTAAGAACACTATCATCAGGGCTGCATTAAAGATTGTAGCAGCTAACCTAGAAGCTAGGTGGTAGATATCTAGCTCTATAGAACACAACAGATCATTTAGCCACTAAGTGTTAGATTTTAGATACAAATATCTTGGTTATAACTTATTTTTCGAACAAAGTTATCGGAACTTAAGCAAAAACGTAAATGTAAATTTACATTTATATGTAATTTGCTTAGATGAAGAAAGAAAAAACACTTTTCCTGTGTATCTCATGTGATGCGAAGCGGTAACTAAGGCGGCCAATTTAAATTTGGTATCTAGCATCAAACACATCTATTTATGCTAGCTTTCCCTATGTAGGGGCTAGGCTAGCATATCATTCAAGATTGTAGTTCTACATAGAAGCTAGGTAGCTGCTACAATCTTGAACCCACCCCAGATTAGAAATGATTCTCTTAATTGCTTTTCAAATTTTTATGGAAATAAAGGAAATTTTTAGAGTTGTTCAAGACTTATTTTACATTTTAAAAATTGAATTTCAAAAATCTTGAGTAATTTTTAGCTGAAATTACTATCTGTTTTAAAAGTAGAGTAAATGTGAAAATTGAACAATTTCAGACTAGTGCATCTCATTGTTACAAAACAGTTACAAATATTAAATTTTATCAACTTAAAATGATTAGATGTTTATGTTTTATTTTATAATAATGTATTAGTAATTTTAAATTATGAACATCGATATTTTCTTGATAGAAATTAATAAGAAGAGTGTTACCTGAGGCACCAGTTACCACTGTTAAGTCCAGAATTGCTAAAAGCTTGGGACTTTCCAAACCCCCTACAGGTCGGACTATACCCTTACAGAAACGCCCCAGAGAGAGGGCCGAAGATTATGGCCCTGCACCACTTCACATACTAGGGGCACCAAATGATCTCATTTATTTTCATGAGTAAGTATGAATCTGATTTAGAAAAAAAAAATACCTTCCCTTATTTCTCTTATGTACATTAAAATAGGTGAATAATTTAATGCATGTAATTTAGAATTACAGGCATGTTTAATTTAATTGATTTTGATGAAATTACTGGATCTTGAAAAGAAGAAGTTTTAGTCTTTGTTTTATTTGTTCAAAAAGCCTTATAATAAAAATAAAACTGAATGATTTTTAATGTATTTAGTGAAAGTGATGATGAGCCCAGTACCTCAGGATATTCTTCAAACTCTGGGAAAAAAGCTAAAACATCATCAAATGTCAACTTCTCAACAGAAGAAATCATGAGAAGAACCCCTGTGGTTAGGCTAACAGTGGATTCATCTCTCAGGTACAACTTGGGGATTAAAACATACTCTCTCTCTATCTCTCTCTCTCTCTCTCTATATATATATATATATAAATCAAATCTGGCTGTATTGATGAGGAATCTATGGAGGTTATTAGAAAATGAGATAAATGTGTAGATTAGTGCCATTTGAAAAGAATGTGATGGACAGGCTGCATTAACAGCGCTAGGGATAATTTCATGAATTGTAGACCAGGTCTTATGTATTTTAAGATATATGTTGAGTTGAATAGATTTAAACATATATATTTGCCTTTATTTAGGGTTGCAAAGTTTGTGATATACATGTACATGCATTTGTATTATAGTTAATACAGTTCAGAGGTGTATTTATTAATGTGTTGGCGTTTTACAGGTTCCGCCCTAATGAGGAGTCTGCCTCAGTGTCCCCCTCCTTCAGCACTGCCAGCGCCCCCTGTGATCTGTTAGGGAGTATATTTCAGAGTCAGCAAATGCTCCATATGAAGACAGACAGGATAAAAATTCACAGAGATGGTATATTGTATGAAAAGAAGCTATTATTAATAAGTTGGTGACCTAAATATAAAGCTTGGATTGGAATTTATTTATTTGCACAATTTTATCGGTGTTCAGGTATATTGTGATTTTTTATAGCACAATAGGAAACATGTTACAGAGAATAAAATACCACTATTTAATATGCAATTATAAATTCTGGAAATAATTCATTTTTTGTTAAAACTTTTCAATTACAAGTACTGGATTTGTAAATACTGCTGTAAAACAATGGCATGCTAGCATCCAAACATGCTTTATTAGTATATAAATAAAATGACAAAGGTGAAGTTATGTTTTTCACAATATATTTGATAGCAAAATTCATTTAAAATCTTAGGAAAAATTGTGTGTAAAAATGTGGATAAGTGGTATGTATAAGATGATAAGGTTCATTGACCCTAAGATTAGAGGGATAACCCTCGTTAGAATTATTCTTATATTTCTTTATAAAATCAGAAAATAAAAAGGCAGCTTCTGAAAATATTTCCTCACAGAGGTTGCTTAAATTGTGTGCATTTTAATAATGAATTAGATTTCTTTGGGCAAATATCTAGCTGTAAGCAAAAGTTTAAGTTAGTGAAAAGAGGGTTGATGATTCTTAGAAGAGTTGTGAGCTTTTTCAGTACAACTTTTATGAACCATGAAATATTTTTTATACGATTTCAAACAAGTAAGAAAGTGCAGTTACTTCCAAGCTGTCTGGTGTTGTACATTCAAGTGATTATTGTATTTAACAAACTGGGTTGAAATAAACAGTTGAAATTTTGTGTTACATTTCTTACTCCACAACGTAGATATATTTTCCTTACATTATTTTATTTATGATGTAGTACATATACATGAAAATGTTCATGTATAATATACAGTCAAACTTTGTTATTTCGAACTCAATGGGTCGGAGAAAAAACTTGGAGATATCCGAGGATTCGAGATATTGAGGGTAAAATACTTAAAAAATAAGTAGTTGGGACTTCAAAATCACTTTGACATATCCATGGTATTCGAGATATCAGTGTTCGAGATACCTAAGTTTAACTGTATAACAATACACTGTATGTATACACTGTATATTGTCCTGTGCAATGAATTGGTTTTTCCATCATTTGATTCATAATCACTTGTTCATCAATGATTCATGTGTTCATTTGGAATCAGAATCACTAAATGTACAATCAAGTGAAAGAAATGGTATTTAAAAAGATGTACATGGAGGCAATTTGAATTTAATGTTTTATATGTGTGTGACTTTTTTTTTTTGTAGGCTCGCTGACTGCATTGAAGTCGGACCCTGTGGAGGAAAAAACTAAGTCATCAGGGAGTAAAGAGGACGGTGACCAGGCATCTGTAAGTTCACCTACACCCCCTACAGATCCAACGGAAGCTGGAGCAGGTAATAGGTTTCTTCGTCTTCCAATATTTGCTGGATCATCTAACATGGAGTTAGATGACAAGGTTGATATACCTGAGGAGCCAGTGGAAATCCCCTTGGAGGAGCAGGAGGAGGAGGATGATGGCCTGGGGGATTCCCTATGGACAATTCAAAAACGTCAAGAAGTTACTGCTCAGGGGAAGACGGACAAATCAGATAATTCTAAACTAAAAGTTACAAACACTTTATCAGCTAGTGATACGCCGAAGGTAAAGCTGGATTTTCAAGAGCGTGATTCTGTAAAAACAGGTGACAAAAGTTGTGAAGGAACTTCCTTTAGTAAAGGAAACGGTGAGACTAAGACACTTAAAGGGAAATCTGATGATGGGAACTTTAAGTCAAGTAAGTCGGTTGTAAGTGGAAAATCTAAGACCCCTGGGAAGGAAAAGAGCAGGAACTACCGATCCAAACAGACCTTCTTAAACACGAGTAAAAGTGGTACTAGTGCTGAGTTATATTCTGATATAGAGGATGATATAGAATTACCAAAGTCTCTTTTATCATCTGATAAAAATTCCCATAGAGACAGTGATAAACATACAAAGCACAGTGAAACAAAACAGAAAAATAGATCTAGTTCAAGTAAAATACCTAAATCTAATTCTAGTGACTTATTTGATGATAGAACACAGGACAGTTTAAGTGGGAATATAGAGGAAGTGGAGGATTTTAAGTTAGAAAAATCTCCCAAACCTGGGGACTTCCCTGTGTTACATAACCCAGTTGTGGATGATGTTAGGTTTGAGTATGAAGACTCTAACGATTCTGTACCCAGTACTTCCTGGTCTGACGCAGGGATTGGAAGTGCCATCATAACTAAGGAACAATACAATGGTAATAGATGAGCCTTTAGACAAAAGACCGATACTGCTTGAATACCTGAATGAAATAATTAAATAAAATATTATATTCTTTAAATTTAATGAAAGGTTTTATTTTCTTATATAAATTTCTTGATTGATATATATTTTGAATTGAAGCAGTAGGCTGATCACCAAATTGAAATATCTTTGACAAAGAGAAATATTTTTTTTTTAAATATTATCCTTTCAGATGACAAATGGCGAGTTGACAAAGTACGCTTCTTGGATCGAGAGATGGATTGTAAAAATGTATCTTCTAAAAGTGACAGGAAATCTCCCAGAGGCACAAAGAGAAGATCCGAGTCCAAAGGGAAAGATCAGGATCCTGGACTGTTAATCACAGTGGCTGGGAATTCTGAGGATCGTTGTGTAGCAGAGAAGACAGAGAAAAACATTGAATTATATGGACAAAAGATGTCGAGGAATTCTGAACCCGAAAGACGGTCCTCTAAAGATGTTAAAGACAAGACAAGTAAATCAAGGTCTTACAGGGAAGAAGAGTTGTATAAAAAAGAAGACTTAGATAATTACAAATCTAAGTCACGCAAGCATCGTTCTAGAAGTCGATCAAGGGAGAGAAAACGGAGGTCAAGGTCTCGGGAAAGGAAAGAAAGATCTAGGTCTCGGGAAAGAAAAGAAAGGTCAAGGTCTCGGGAAAGAAAAGAAAGGTCAAGGTCTCGGGAAAGAAGAGAAAGGTCTAGGTCTCGGGAAAGAAGAGAAAGGTCAAGGTCAAAAGAGAGGCGAGATGTATCTCGGTCAGGGGAAAAATCTTCCAGGTCAAGGGACAGAAGAGAAAGGTCAAGGTCACTGGAATATAAATCAAGAGAAAGGCGCTCCAGGTCAAGGTCTCGTGAAAGAAGAGAACGTTCAAGGTCAAAGGAGAGAAGGGATCGGTCAAGGTCTCGTGAAAGAAGAAAATCTAGACGTGATCGATCTAGGTCCATAGAGAGGAGGCATGAACGATCAAAATCTAATGAAGGAAGAAGGTCAAAATCATTAGAACGGTCAAGTAAAAAGAGTAGAAGCGAAAAATTTAGTGAAAAGCTTCGAGATAGAGACTCAAAGTCAAGTAGAAGTCCTCACAGGCGAGAAAATGAAGATAAATCACGTCAAAAAGAAGAAAAACTTGATGTGTTTAGTTCAGGTATAAAACGTCTTCATGATGGAAAAGAGAAAAAAGCCAAAAAGATAAAAACAACTGAAACTGAGCCAATAGTTATTTTATCTGATGAAGAACAAGATCATATACCAAAGAAAAAATCAGAACAAAGCTCTGGAAAACCAAAACATAATTCAGGTGATAAAGCCTCAAATAAAATAGAACCTATAATTACTCCACGATCATCCTCAAGTCGCCGACCCAAGGAAACAAGAGAATTGACACAGCCTCCTCTTCCAGCTCAAGAAATGGTTCCACCACCCATGCCTCCTGTCATGACCAATATCAAAGTATTAACTGACACCAGTGAGTCAAAAAAATATACTAGTAAACCTCACCATGCAGAACTTTTAGAAGATGTTGTTGTAAAAGAGGACTCTAGAGTACAAGAGGTCACAGAAAGTATAAATTTTGACGATGACGATGAAGAGTTAGCATATGATCCAGCATTTCCAACAGTGGATATGGAGGAATCACCAACAGAGGATCCACCCATTGTGTTAGAGGAGGCAGCTGAACCATTCCAAATGCATGTCAGTCCACTGCTTCATACAGACCTTCCTATGCAAAGCATTTCACCCCTACCTGGGCCACCTCCACCACCCATGCCTGACCAGGGGCTGCTTGGGGATCCATCCATCATCCTTCCAACAACAGCAGGGGAGCCACCACAGCCTTTGTTACAGGGGGCAGGACAACAAATTCCTCTCCAGATCCGCATGTTACCACCAGGGTTTGCAGCTCAGCAACCAGGTGGCCTGCCCCCACAGAGACAGTTAATCGTAAATCACCCTGTGTTTATTAATCGACCAGCATCATTTCCTCATCTCCAACAACTCCCAGCAGGTCACCCTCTACAACCTCGTCTTGTTTCCACTCCAGCAGGTATGGTTACTATGCAGAACCAGTTTACCCCAAGAATACCTTCACTGGTATCATTACCAGGACAGCAAGGGCTTCTCAATGGTGCATTAGATCATTTGTCACATGATCCTCCTCTAATTTTAGCATCGGATCCTCGTGGTGACCCTAGATTGCATCACCCACCTCATCCAGAATCTCATGTAATCTCTTTGCGGCCAGAAGTACCTGTAGTACCCATGTCTGTTCCTGAAGGAATGCCACTCCCTTTAGCATCAAGTGAGGCTATCTCTATGAACAGACCAGACATCATTCCATCAGCATCACAGTTAGAACAGATTTCTCAGATTACCAAGCTGCTTAACACACAGGCACAGCTAGCCATGTTTGGAAAAGAATCCAAAGGGTTAGAGCCTCAGGAACATAAACCAGAAGTAATGGAGCAGAAAAACAGCAACAGTGTGTTCAAAGTTCCCCTACCCCCAATCCTGACCCACACAATTAACAAGGTCAAATCAGAGAAAGAGAACTTGGAGATGATAGATATGGACATGTCATCGCCTCAGGACAATGGGAACATAGAGATCCCAACCTCATCTTCTGAGAAGTCGGAGAGGAGTAGGAAAAAGGACAAGAAGAGGAGCCACAGACATAGGTCTGAGGACCGACACAGATCATCCAGCCATGAGGACCGAGTGTCCTCAACAGTGGAGTCACAGAAATCATTTGATCAGATCATGGATGAGATGAACAGTGCTGACGAAATTCCGTCCTCAGCCGTAGAGCTGACAAATAAAGAAAAGGTACAGCTCTAAAGAGCTTGATTTTCATGTCATTTAAGAATGAAACAGAGATTCTTTTAACAAATGTATTTACATGTAGATAATGCTTAAAATACAATTACTCTCTTGTAGTACCTCCGAAAGCTTCATCTGCAGGAGAGGGTTGTAGATGAAGTGAAGACGGCACTGAAGCCTTTCTACAGTGCCAAGAAAGTCAATAAAGAACAGTACAAGGAGATCCTGCGCCGTGCTGTGCCAAAGGTGGGTGATTCATTTCAGTAGGCCTACTTTCCTACATGGTTTCTGTCTTTAATGTAAGACTGTAATGTAGGCATTAATTTTAATTTTTATTCCTGTGTTGTCTTGCATTCAACACAGATATGATAAATCTAATCCTGCCAATTTCTTGAAAACAAATTAACTGTTCTTGTGAAGGTCAATGCACATAATGGAAAATTAGTATGACAATTTGAAAGAATTAGCTTGTATTAATTGACCTGATCTAATTTTTATTATGATGAATGTTTATGCAGTGATCTAATAAAACTGATGTAGCTGTTCTGATTTCAGGTGTGCCACAGTAAAAGTGGGGACATTAACCCAGTTAAAATTCGAGCTTTGGTGGATGCTTACGTCGCCAAGTTCAACAGGAACATGTCCCCCCCAAAGATTGAGAACGGAGATGAAGTGAAGAAAAAATCCAAGTGAAGGAAAGACTTATGATCAAGGGATAGTGTTAGAAAAGCAGGTGTCAGAGAACGGCCGAGAGCCAAGTGTTCCTGTGTTATTGTGAGGATTGTGTTAACTTAAAGTTATCTAAATCCACACAGAAAGATTAAGAGCTGTGTACTTATTGATACATGCAAGACACTGCCATAGGGCAGTCCTATTGAACTCTGTTAAATGATACATACAAGACACTGCTATAGGGCAGTCATATTGAACTCTGTTAAATCACATAATGAGGACAAAGTACAAGAGAGTTTTGTATCTAATTGTGTGCAAATTGACCCCCATGGCATGTTTTTTTTTATTGTGAAATGAATGATTTTGCATTTAACTATAAAGAAAAAGATTTCACCAGGTGTATCTCAGAAAAAGATTTCATCAGGTGTACATAAGAAATAGGTAAATCCCTGACATTATAGGGTTTTGACCTGTGTTATCAGACACTGAGGGTGAATTTTTTTAGATAAAATGTACAATTATGACATTTGATATGTAGTGCTGTTTAATTTGCAGTATTTTAATGTGGGCAGCAACTTAATTGAATGTTATTGCTGAATGTCGAGATATTTCTTTGTTGTCTCCCTTTACACAAATATGTCGGCATCTTTTAATCCCATCTCTGAACATGGACAGTAAGTCATTGGAGTTTTTGTTAATTTTTTTCCCATCATGTCTGTAATTTGTCCCGTCATATTGAGTGAGGACTTTTCCTTTCTATGGTATGGTAAAGTGTACAACATTGATAAAAGCTTGTTAAGACTGTGTGCATGTTATAAGTGACTGGACGTATAAAACAGAATGTGTGATAAAGTAGACCCACAATAAATAATGAACTGACGACAGAGCTTGTTATTTTATTGTTCCTTTGAAACACAGGAGTATGATCTGGTGGTGAATTTGAAATTGTTTATGGAGAAATATGCTCTGAATTGCTTTTTCAGTGTTAATTTCAGGACTGCAATTTACATCAGAGCTTACCACTAAGACCAAAATTTGCTTTTTAAAATTTATCTTATTCATTACATTGATTACACTGTGAATTTAATGTGATTAGAAATGATTCAGATATGTAACTTGATTTAAAGGCAGAGATTTTTTACCGGGTGGTAAATTCCAGGTGAGGGAGGGGCTTATTTTGTACAGGTGTGAATGCCTTGAGGGCTAGCAGTCTGTCTCCAAATCCAGATTTAATACACAGTAGAATACCCAAGGAGTCAAACTTTACCTGTGTTGGGATTTTGAGATGATTTTAAATTAGAAATAAAAAGTTTTAGATAAAGTTTAATCTCAATAATTTTATTAATTTGTAATTGAATGCTCACCCATTAAAAAAAAATTATTCAAAGTATTTGTTGAGCTTTGAAAAAAAGTTATACCCAATTTTGATATAATTATATTATCATAATGAATATCATAATTATTTCAAATACTAGAGGTGTGTGTATATATATATATTATCAAGCTAAAAATTCCATAGTTATACAGCTTCTCTATTGTTTATACCATGTGTGGTAAATATCAAAGGATCAAAAGTTAATTTGAAGGTCACCACGAGTGCCAAACAAGGTGTACAGGGTATACACAGGGACTAGTAAGTAAATGTCAATCAAGTTCTAGCACCCAGTGATGTACCTTAATGTACTTGATTGACAGGGGTACACAGACCAGGTATTTTTGAAGGAGGTGCTTAAAATCTCTGCCTTTAAGTGTAAGCTCACAAAATAATTAAGTTGGTTTAGACTTTAGAACTATGGAAAATGCATGTATTTAGACTTTTGTTAAATAGGGCCCTAATGCAGATATTCAAAAGATAAATAGAGGATATTCAATATTTTGTTGTTGGATATGGAATTTATTTCACGAGTGGGACAGGATTTTTCGATACTTTTACGAGTGCGAAGCTCGAGTGAAAATATAAAAAATTCCTGTCTCATGAGTGAAATAAATTCCATATTCATCTACAAAACATTGAATTTTCTGTTTATTACATTTTCTTTGATTTGTCTTTGCCCCTGTCTTTTCTTAACACGGTGAAATATGGCTGTGATGTCATAGTTGAGCGGTTGAGACGTCATAGCTTAGCAATTGTGAGTTTGAAAACATTTTAGCAATATTTTTGGAAGAAAATTTACAGTTTTAGTCTATCAAGATAGTTTTGTTACTATATCTTATGACAGGCCAGAAATCATTTTTGCTTACTTTGATAACCTTTCACACTGTGACAGAATATCATTTTGATATCCTATCACACTGTGACAGAATATCACTTTTATTCAATTATTAAATCACAGTATTTCACTATTGAAAATGTAATAAGGGTTGATAGTGTATGATTGGGGGTACATGTAGTGAGTTCTTGCTCGCAGTTAGCGCATGAAATATAGACTTTAGCTTTGAAGTTTGCAGGATTCTCCTCTCTTAACTGGCCATTTCAAGACGGGGGGGGGGGGGGGGACGCCAGAATCTGGAAGTGTTAATTTATAACTCGAGCTATATTATTTAAATATGTAAAAAATGCATTTATTAATGTTACTTTTTGGACATATTTAGGTTCAGCAAGATCGTTTCCATTTATTGTTTTATTTAATTGTAAGACATGAGAAACGGTGTTAACGAAAACAAATTGTGGTTTTGCTTAAACACGCATAATGATATGTTTGGAACCAAATGTCAGACTATACTTGTACAACATGCAATAATGACGTGTCATTCCCACTTAACTGCTAAAACATTACGAGAATTAACGAATAACCGCGTTTCACGGATTCTGTAAGATGCACATTAGCATTTATGGTATTTTTCCTGTATTTTTTCTGTTGTAAATACATATATTCAAAAGGGGAAAAAAGGTTGGTATTGTATAATTGAGGGGTTGCAATAGTCATTGTTAAGAATACCAGCTGCTTGCAAGGATTCTGACAATTTTGCTTATATAACATAGACTCCACCTATGAAATATCGCTTCTTTTAGACATAGATCTTTATAACATAAAATGTTCGGAAGCTGTAGGAAGGGTCGCATTGATCCTCTCTCTCTTTTTCTCTGGATTAAAGAATTATAAATTTGTCAATGTTTAATTGATTGTGCCTTTTCTCAACATGCTGAAGCAAAACTTGCTGCATTTCTATGTAAAAGAGAAAGGCCTCAAAATGTCATTCTGTGAGAGAAAGAACTAACATTCACAGAATGGACAGTTTGAGATCTTTCTCCTACTTGAAACATGATTTTCTATGTTCTGAAATTGAATAGAAAATGTAGAAAACTGGTATCGTATTATGAATAGCACACAGACAATGACAAGCTCATTGTTTACAGAATGGACACTCACAGGTAATCTAAGGGTGCAGCATTTTGTTGAAAAGCTATTGTTTTCCCAGATTCAAAATAACAAAAGTTCATTGTCTGAAGAATGGACAGTTACAGGTGGATTTGGGGGGGGGGGGGGTACCGGTCTTGTTGAGAAGGCTTTCCTCCCTAAAATCTTCCCCCGGAAAACTGGCTCTACAGTAGGATTTCCCTCTGGAAATTAGGCTCTAGAGTAGAATTTCCCCCATGGAAAAATGACTCAGGAGTAGCATTTTCCCCAGGAAAATTCCACATCAGATTCAATTTTCCGGGGGGGGGGGGAGGGATCCTAATCTGCGTTATAGTTATAGAGTGCGATTTTCCCCAGAGCCAGTTTTTCCCCAATAAAATATCATGTCTGTATGCTTACGTATGAGGGGAGGGGGGCTACACATTGTTACAAGTGTCCCTTCTTCAAATGGCGAACAGATCCATTGAATTATACAAGATTATTATAGAAGTATGAAAAATCAAAATTTTAAATCTATTTTTTTTCTTATAGTAAAATGTCCCACCAATTCTTTTGAAGCATCAAAAATTTCTTTTCATCTCGTCAAACTGATTTCTGACAAAAAATGGTACACTGTAATCGGTTGGACAAATTTTTAACTGTATCCATGGAAACAAAAAGGAATTTTACTGTAAATGGATTTTTTCTCCAATTGTATTTCAAACATACATGTATTTCATACATCTACATATTATTTATTTGTTAAGTGTCTCTCTAAGTTTCTGGTGTTTAAATATCTAAGATAGCTGCAGTTACCAAGGAACTAAAAATGGGTCATTTATTTCTTTTAAAAAATTGAAATTTTGCAAAACTTTAAGAGAGTATTTGCTATCTGCTTTCAAATCCAATAAAATACCGCTTGGGTCGAGGAGACATACTTATGCTTCGGTTGAAAAGCAGTGTTTCTTGTGTTGTTAGTTTTTAGTTTAGTTTTGTTTTTTTTACCCTTGAAGAACTTGATTCAAATACTCACAAGATAGTATGTGGTAAATTATCAAGTCACAAAAGGTTGCTTGATCACAGGCACTTGTTTCTGTAATAAATTTTTGACCCATAGTATAATAACAACACAAGGATACCTTGTGTTATTATTATACTATGGGTCAAAAATTTATCACAGAAACAAGTGCCTGTGGGCTTGATATATATTTTAAAATTCGTGAACAAACAGGCGCCCAGAGGGGGTGTTGAGACATCGAGTCTTACGATTTGTAAGTGACCAATTGACAATATCCTATGAGTTAAAATTTTTGTTTGAGAGTAACTCGAGACTCAATGATTTAAGATTTCATACTAAAAATTTGACAATTCTTGAGTGGAAAACACTCATATTTCCATTTTAAAAAATGGTTGACTTTCATATAATCTTTAAGCAAAAATATTTTCGATATGCTTTTTTAAGCACTAATAAAGGAGGGGAAATTTGGCTCTATTGTGAGAGTTCCCCTTGGGGGAAATCCTATTCTAGGGTACAGATTCCGGGGGAAAACTAGCTATGGGGGAAATCGTTCTCTACAACACCGGTATTTATATATACGTATTTGATGCTTCAACATCAATTTAAAGTTTGCTTTGTAACGGCATATATGTTTGCCTTCGGCGGAGAAAGTCTGACAGAATCAATATCTTATGAGCCAGTAGATGCATAAAATAAGTGATATTTCGACCTGGAAACAAATAAAAGTAAGAGTAAAATACAATTTTAGCCAAAGTACGACCTGAAAATGGATTTCTTTTCCAACAATATACTAGTATATAGGTAATCTTATCAAATTCAAATCAAATCTAGAAATGTTCGTTTGAATTTAATTTTTGAAGAGGGTGCAAACTGTTTCTGAGTGTTGTATTGACCATGAGCCAAACTTTGAACTGAAAATGTATTTCCTTTACAATGAATTCGAAATACTGGTAATCAAATTGATATCAAATCTGAATTCTTAGCTCACCTGAGCCGAAGGCTCAAGTGAGCTTTTCTGATCAAAGAGTGTCCGTCTGTCGTCCGTCGTCTGTCAAGATTTGACGATATATTGACGACAGAAGTGTGATGTTAAGAGTGAAAATTGTGTTTAAAGTATTGAAATAACGTATATCATTCATGGATTTCAGTGTAAAGTCAAGTTGATGCTGTACAGATGTGTTCTGGATTAACTATAAGATCTACGTGCATGTTCGTTTTGTTATTTACATGCAAATTACATCGTATTTAATGTATTTGTTTTTTTTCCCTCTCTGGGTACATTCCAATCTTCCTATGTATCTTTAACTGTCCATTTTGTTAACAAAACACTGTCAATTCTTTTAAAAGAGAATGGAGAGTTTTTCCCGAAAAGAATGGACACTTACAGGTAACTTAATGGATTGTTTGAGGAGTTAGCGCAACAGTAACTAAGCTATACAATAGACAACACTAACAAAAGGTTTACATCACAATCATGTTTTAAGATTTACACCCTTTATTCCTCACTCACTATCCATCTAGGAT